TGGGTTATTATGCATGTCTGTGTGTTACTGTAGATTAAAGTAGTTTGAAGTACAGTAGGACTACAGAGTTATATTGGAACACTTCCCAACATTTATGCAATGCTTCAACGTGAAAATCCCCCTCAGTTTTTTATAAAAAATGAAACTCTCCTTGCACTATAATAACTAGATTCAATCTTAGGTTATGCTAAACTATAATTATTTAAACTGCTTGGCTCTTAGCTCAGTCAGACTATGCATGTCAACCAGACCTTTCGATTCACTTTTGGTGCATGTGGAGTTTCGTTTGGTTTCTTTTGGTGTTTCCGTTTTGCATCCAGACCACAAAAAGGTCACAGATGGATTGCGAACAGATTGTGATTGGCATGTCTGACAAAAAAGTATCATGACACGTGGTTGGTGGATAAAAATGACAGTTTTGGTCACAACATTTAAAATAGCAAGCAAAAGATCGTGTGGTGTTGAGTTCCTATGTGCAGTCATATAAATATGATCAACTCATATAAAAGTAAAAAAATCTGCCAGAAAACAGTCAAACTTTACCTGATTATAATGAGTAAGGGAAACAATGTCAGGTACAAAGTGTGGTCATTTTGTTTGTGTTCATTATACCTCTACATCTATCACAGATATCCTAAAAAGTGCCATAAATTAATGGCACTAATGCATTTTTGTGTCACCTGACTGTGAGGAAGAATTAAGAATTAAAAGAGATAAAGGACACATTTTGGGGAAATATATATTAAAAGTGAAACCTATATACAGCAGTGCAGATGTGAAAGATAATAAATAGATAAATAAATAAGTAGATAGACCAGCTTGTGAGTTGTACATGGACAGTAGTGGAAATGACCAACGGTAGCAGGTATGACAGTAATGCAAATGGTTGCAGTAAAGTGCCAAAGACGGTCAACAGCATTTAAGACGTGAATGTAACTTGTGAGAGTGTGTTACAGTACAGGGGTATGAACTTAAATTATTGAAAAACAAAGCCTACACTTAAAAACAAAACAAAACAACAACCCAAGAACATGCACAGTTGTGTAAAATAATGTTTTCAGAGGATTCTTGAGGTATACTTGATTAAAAAAAACTACGTACGCCCCCATGGTTATAGAACCACCTTTAGCAGCAACAAATTAAGTCATTATTTTCAGTATGACTTTATCAGTCTACTTTATCTGCTGTGGAGGAATTTTGGCCCGTGTGTCTTTGCTATGTTGCTTTATTTTATTGAGGTTTGCAGTCATTCGCCTATGCACAGCTCTCTTAAGATCCTGCCATAAGATTCAGCCATTCTGTGTAGATTTGCTACTTTGTGCTGTTGTATCACCCAATTGCAAACTCAGTAAATATGGTCACATTAATTTGTTTAAAGTTACTGTATAAAGTGTGATTTAAGAAATTGTAGCTAGGCTTTTAAGCAGTATTATATGCTTTCCATGCAAAAGCTCTGTGTATATGCGGCTTCTGATTAGTAATTGGACACTTAATTAATTTGTTGTCAATGAAAACAGAGTATATTGACTGCTACAGATGGCTTCTTAGGAGATAAGCCTTTTTTTAAATGTCTTCATTTATTAATGTATATTTTAATTTTCAAATAATGAACATGCACCTGTATGAAGATTCAAATAGCGTTAATAGAGTTTTTGAATCTTTCCAACTTTACTGAAATTGCAATTCTGTGATCCATACTAGAATAATTATATATATGGTTCGACCCACATTTACTGATTCCTTTTCATTTCAATGCCTATTTTGCAGCTAATTCATTACGCATCAAACTTAAGGCTGGACAGAATTTGTTTCTAGAGCATCGTACTGAAAAAAAAAAGCCATACAATCGATAACTGCACTCATCTCCACATATAGGTTGCAATGAAAACACTGCTAACATGAAAAATGATAGACATACACTTAAAACACTGAAATTAGTCTTTAGTTATGTAAAGCAGTACAGGCTTGCCTTGGGATTCCTGAGCACTGATTTCTGGGAGGTAATTTTGTTTTGCTTTTTGCACACTCAGGGTCAGATGGAGAATGTCGTGGGGTAGTTATAGCCCTCAGGTTGTATATTCCCAGTGTGTGAGGACTCCCTCTCAATCTGGTTGCCAAGCTGTGTTGGTATTAAATGTGTATATTGACTGTATCTTATGATCTGGCAGCTAGGATAACACAAACTATGGATGCATGTATTGCAATTTTTCCCAAAAGGAGGGTGCGGGACTTAAAAACATAAAAATATTGGGGAAATCTGGGTGGTGTGCTTTGATGTGACTTGTGCATAGTTTTGACATTTCTCCTCTTATTTGCTCAATTTAAGCAAAAATACCTGCAGTACACATTTCCAGGGTTTTTACTGGCTCGGATTGGGCCTTTTTGTAGGGTTGGGGGATGCACATAAGTGCAACTGGTCTGCATATAACTAAGTTTAATTAGTCTTACCAGAAGTCTGTACATTTTTTTTTTAATTTCTGGCCATTTGATAAGCAAAATTGTACTTTCAAATCATAATGAAAAATCCCACTGTTTCTTTGGTAGATTCTATAATTTTTATATACAGGAAAAACACAGATTTCTACAAAAGGTATTTGCCTATTTTCACATCTTACACTTTAACAATACATGCAGCTACTTCGGCTGTACATCTGTAAAACATAAACACAGCTGGCATGTATTAATTTGCTGTAGTGTGATTGCTTATTCTATTATTTTGGTGCACCATTGTTTTATTGTTTGTTACATCCTGTTCTCTGCTCAGCCTATTCTTGGGTGTAATCAAACGTTTCATCCAACTAAAAGCTGCCCTTAGCTGGATTGCTGCAATGTATACACAGTCAGTTTAAAGTTTGTCAGCTGTAGAGTAAAGTCAGGTACTTTCCAGGCTGTCTGTCAGTCAAGATCAAGGCGACGATAGATTCTGAGAGAAGAGGAAGTGCAAAGAGAAGTTGTTTGAAAAGGTGAAAGTTCCACTGTGCTAAAAATAGCTTGCTTTTCGATGCATTTATGCCTGCTTGCAGCGCATTTGTGGCCTTTTTCTTCACTATAAACTATCATATAAATATCAGCACATCTTTAAAGCTGCATTAAGCAATATCCACCTATTGCTTTTCAATCAGGTCGTAGGATTGGTTCAGTGAAGCTTAACCAGTGCACCTGCTCTTGCAAAAGGAAGTGTATAACCAGCTGACTCAAGCCGGCTTTACACTTTCTGTGTAGCGCTAAATGACGGAGAGGCGAAGTAGCTGAAGAACGGCGAGCACTTATAGCAACCCAAAGACATCCAGATATTTTTCTCAAGAGTCTGTGGACCAAACCAGGGCTGAAATGAATTTGCATTCAACATGTGGCCAAAAAGATGACTGCAAACCCAGATTCCTCTGTTTCTGCTGAATGTGTAAGTAGTCAGTTGTTTGCTTAAAAGTTAGGAGCTGGTTTAGTGTTTTCTTTATTGTTTAATGCAGCTTTAATTTCATATTTGGGTTAAAATGATAAATGTTAAAGGCCACGTGCTCACATCAAGGGCACGTCATGGTTCACAGGATAGACAATGGTGTGCTAACTTTTTTTTAATTTAATTTAATTTTTTATCATTTTCAGCTTGTTTAATTCATACCACGTGTTTTGTTCACATCTTTTTAATTCATTTTAGCTAATGTATTATTATCAGTAGATATCCACAATTATGCTTTTTATAGTAATACACAAATGTATTATTTCAAATAGCAAGTTTCACACTAAAGTCAACCACTTGGACCAAAGTGGTTGACTTTAGTGGATTGGCTTGATTTATGTAGTGTGAGTTTGATGTGTTTGTTGTAATTAATTAAGTCTATTAAACACTATATTTATGAATAGTTCTCCCTTTAGCATTTGATTTAATTTTAATAAGTGCTGATGAAGTATTATGAGTAATCTTTAAAGCATTTTTTTTTACTTTTATAACTCTAGTTTTGATTCTAACTCTGTAAACAAATATAAAGTGCTACCCTGTCACTATATGGAGTCTGGAGACCCTGCTTGATCCCACATTAAGTCTAAGAACCTGGTGGTCTATAAATGTAGATAACTCTTTGCTGTTATTTTACAAAAGGGCAACAGCATACATTTAAAGCAAAATAGTACATTTTAGCTATTATGTATGCTGTAAGGCCACCAGAAATGTAACTTTGGATTACAACCTTGTTTCTGTTTGACTGCAAATGTTAAAAGTGTGTGCTGGAGTATTTTAATGTGTCCCAAGGCCCTTTTAGTCACCTTTTTGCGTTATCTGACTTTTACAGGCCGCCTCAGCCGCTCATTACAGCCTTTGCATGCCTGTTAGCGTAAGCTAGAGTTAGCGTAGCATTTGAGTTTGACATTCACCTCTGGCTCTGCACTTTTTAACCAACGATCTATAAAATCTTTTAGCAGCACACACACATGCACACACAAACACACACATATTAAAAAAAAACCCTTCTGTGTCCCCTGGTTTAGCATTATTAAAGCTGGTCAGCTAATGGATTAGCCCCTGAACTAGAAGCAGAAGACTGTTTGAGTTCATAATTCACGAGTATTGCCATATTGATATTTTGCAGTGTAAATTCATTTTAACTTTGTGCTTAATATTAGGCATGCATCTGTAAATATATATAAATTTAAACTTGTAGGAGCAGTTAGGATCATTTAGCACTGTTATTCACATCAGTACAGCCCCCCCCCCATCGTCACCTCAAAGGTGTGTGTGTGCTTGTGTGTGTTTTAATGGTACCTGGGGGGTGTTTATTACAGTGATCCTGTGCAGACGCCCTCTGCAGACTAATATGTGTGTGCAGTTTTGAAGTAGCTCTTTGACTGTGTGTTTTTAGGCATTTGTTTTATGTGTGGGTATAGAGCTTGCACGTGTGTGTGTGTGTGTGTGTATGATTATTATGTCTGTGGAACCCTTTGATGGGTGTAGACGAGGGCGTTCAACAGTTTTCTCATACCTAGACTGTGCACTGTGTGTTTCCCAGGAGATGGCAACCTCTGACCCCTGTGCAAACGCCCCCCCAACTCCGCCTGAGGAGCCGGCGCCTTCACCCTCCCCTCGCAAGAAGCGCGGGCGTCGGAAACAAGAGCCAGCGGAGAGGAATAAGGGTACAGCTTTAACGCTCTTTGCCCATATATGATTATTACCTTAGATTGAACAGCATTCGGAAAGGTTCTGCTAATTTTCTTTCAGTATAAAAACTTTAAACAGTTTATTTACAACAACAAATGTTATCTTTTGTGTAATTCATTTATCTAAAACTTTACCTTTCAAAGAACTTCCATGTTGCAGCTTTTAAGGGAATGGTAATTGTACATAAGTACACTGGCGCAAAGTGATGAAAACCACGTCTTTACATCCTCATTAAATCTCTCGTTAAACCTGTACAAATGAGCCATTTCCTGTAACTTTTTTTCCCCCTGCAGACGAGCCAGATGACAGAAACTGCGACTCCCCCAGAGAGGTGAGAAAACAAGTGTCTGCAGCAATTTTGCATGTTTTCTACATGGTTAAATCAATCACTCTCATGGTATACACAATATATAACAAGCTTTTTGTGTACATGCAGGGAGAGACTGGAAGGCTGCGGAGAAGGCCAGTCCCCAGAGTAACTTTTCAGGCTGGAGATCCATACTATATCAGCAGGAGACAGAGAGAAGAATGGCTCAGCCGCTGGAAGATGGAGGTGAGCAACGGAAAAGCTCGTATTTACACTGATATACGTTTATTTAGGAGCCCAGTTAGAGCAAATATGCTCCTTAAATATTTTTGATGGAACTTCTTGTCTTATATATTGTAAAAGTTTTACAGGTGGACCAAGAAGATTTATAAACTTTTGAACTGGTTTTATAGATGTGGGATGCCCTTTTAAAGCAACCAAACTACAGTGGAAAGTAGCTGTGGTTCGCTTTGTGCGATGCTGAGTAAGCCAGAGAAAGAGGGAAATCCCCTTTAGATATTAAATCAACCTTCTTGACAGAACTGCGTGCTGAGTAATATTGCTCTGAGTGTCGTCACGATTTACAGTCTCACTTTATATGTTGGGGATATGAACTCCATGTGTTCTGTGTCTGTTAAACTTTTACAACCCCAATTCCCAAAAAGTTGGGATGCTGGGTAAAATGTAAATATTATGATTTTCAAATCTCATAAACCTATATTGTATTTACAGTAGAACATAGAAAACATATCAAAGTCATTTTGAATTTGATTGCAGTAACACGTCTCAAAAAAGTTAAGCCAAGGCCTGTGTAGCATCCCCTCTTCTTTTAACAGCAGTCCATAAACATCTGGGACTGAAGAGACCAGCTGCTAGACTATTTGAAAGGAATATTGTCTCATACTTGTCTCATATAGGATTCTAGCTGCTCAACAGTCCTCTGGCTTCTTTATTGTATTTTTTCATTTCATGATATGCCAGATGTCTTCAGCTGGTTAAAGGTCTGGACTACAGGCAGACAGTTCAGCACTCTTTGAGAAACTAAGCCATGCTGTTGTAGCTGCAATATGTGGTATAGCATTGTCTTGCTGAAGCATCCAAAGCCTTTCTGAAAAAAGTCTTTGGATGGGAGCATTTGTTGCTCTAAAACCTGTATATATTTTTCTGCACTGATGCTGCCTTTCTGGATGTTCTTCTCCCATCGTATCATATCGTACCGTATCGTATCGCATCGCATCGAATCGTATCGTATCGTATCGCATCGTATCATCAGAAATGCAGAATTTTGAACTGATTGCTAAAAATAAGCTGGATGCTTCCTCTCCTTTTTAAGTCTGGCGGTTCCAGTGTCCATAATTACCAATAAGAATTTCAAATTTGACCACAGAACAGTTTCCCACTTCATCTCAGTATATTCTAGATGAACTTTGGCTCAGAGAAGATGCCATTGTTTCTGAATCATGTTCACACATAGCATCTTCTTCATGTGATAGAGATGTACCGGTAATATGAATTTCTGGATGGCACGGTTCCTGAGCTCATGCAGTGATTTCCATGATACAATCAAACCTGTTTTAATGCAATGTGGCCTCAGGGCTCAGCTTTGTACCTCGTGCACATAGATCGCTCCAAGTTGCTGAATCTTTTGATGATATTATGTATTGATATTCAGTCTTTGCAATTTCTATTGAGGAGCATCTGTAAATGCAGTTTTTTGCAGACTGGTGAAACTCTCGTTACTTCCAGAGACTCTAAGATGCTCTTTTTTTTATATACAATCATATTACTGATAATTAGCCTATTTAATTCAACATGTTCCTGTAGCTGTTTCTTTTTAGTACCTCTGACTTTTCATCCTTTTTTTTTGCTCTGTTTCAGCTTTTGAGATATGTTGCAGCCATCTAATTCAAAATGAGCTAAATTCTTTTCAAAAGATAGTAGAGTGTTATAAAGTGTTTAATATTTGGTATGTTTTCTATGTTCTACTATGAATAAAATATGGGTTTATGAGAATTGCAGATCGTATGAATTCTGCCTTTATTTACATTTTGCACAGCGTTCCAATTGATTTTGGAATTGGGGCTTTATTTTACTCAAATAAAAATGAGAGAAAAGTCCAAACATTTCCTGTGACTGTTTTTTTTTTTCATTACGGCAAGGATTCCTTTAGCTGACTTCACCCACATGGCACACTCTGACATCCTTTATCTTCTCTTACACATCTTTTGCTGTTACTGATGCTGCCTCCACCTGGCATCCACCTGTAGGCTCTTTCACTGCCATATGTTTCATTGAGGGGGACGTTATTAATGCGTCCTTGAGGGGAGCATCAAGGTCAGAGGTTAGATTCAAATCATAAATGTTGTACATATTTTTAATTTACATAATCTATACCACATGTGTTATTTGGGTAACCTGAGATATAAAACAAGAATTCAGGGTATCTGCAGGTCTGAAAGGTCTTAAAAATGTCAATCTTCAAACACTACAAGTTTCTAGAAAGTCTTAAATTTTCTGCAGCTCCCTATTTTTTGGTGGAAACCTCATCGATCTGTTTGATTTCAGCCAAACCTTTCTTTGGACCTGAGGGCAAAAACTGCACCTAATAGTCATAGACAGCCAGATGTTAGTGGTCTCGTCCGACATTCACTCACAAAGCCAGAAATATTGATTATATTAGAATAGAATAGAATAGAATAGAATAGAATAGAATAGAATAGAATTCAACTTTATTGTCATTGCACATGCACAGGTACAGGACAACGAAATGCAGTTTGCATCCATCCAGAAGTGCTTTAGTGATATAGATATATTACAATATATATTAGCAATAATATAGATATGTGAGTATATTACAGAAATGGGTCTATTATGGTATGTTATAATGTACACGGTATGAAGTATGTTGTGAATATTCTATAACTATAGGTATGCACAGGCTGTAGTGAGTACAAGCTATGTACAGGATATGAACAGGATATAAATATGAAAAACTATACAGAATATGAAATAAATAACTTTACAGAAATCTGAGATATACAGTTATACAGAAATGGGAACTATTTATTATTATTGTGATAAAAGCAAATCCACATGTTTTGGGGTTTTTATTACAACCACCGTCATGTTTTGGGGCGTGTTTGGGGTTTCTTTGTGGCCTTTCATGATCAACACCATGTGACTGACGGTTTATTTCATTATACAATCCTTGTGATTGGACAGCACACAACAGACACTCCAAAGACACAGACTGCAATTACCTGACTTCCATTATTTCAGTAAAAACAATGCTTTTATGCCATTTCCGTTTATACTGGGGGGCCTGCTTGTTACCGCCAAACCTATCACTTCTCAGACACCCAGTGTCACCATTAAAACCCTGTGGTGCAGACACATCAGAATTCAGTGGGGTAAGAAATTATCTCCAGAATCAGAAGTCATGAGTCTGACTCTTCCTTGTGGCTGGTTATTTATCCACAAATGTCATTTTCATCTCTCAAGCAAAAGTGTTTTGTTTCTATCATTTTGTTCAAATTGGTAAAATTGTAAGACAAAACCTCCTGTGTCCAAATCAAGCCACACAGGCCAAATCTGGCCTTCTGGAATTTTAATCCAGCCCACATATCACTCTAGGTTCTTGATCAATTTCAGCCTTTCTAGTTGTAGTTGCAGTCTGCACAGCAGCATGCGCCACATCCAAACTAAACAGAGAAGTACACACCTGCAAGTAAAACTAACAAAAGGCTCAGCCTGATAGGGATCAAATGGTTTTAGATCTTCTACTTCTCCTGACTAAATGTTTTAAAGCCTAATTCATGGGCTGGTTAAGGGTTACATATTGAACAAAAGGTTGTGTGCAGCATACAAGTTCAAATAGTAGCTAACTGTTCAATTAAATTGGCTACACTTGGCTTTAAAATGCACCTTGATCAGTCAGATTAGTGCCATAAGTGTAAATGTTGCGATTCAGTCACTGGTGGTCTGGGATACATTTGGCCTCACACATTTTACTGTGTAAAAGCAAAAGTTTTCCAATGTGTCCCCAGCAAAAACATAACAGGAAAATATTTTATCAATAAGGGACTTAATTTGGTCCTTTTTGCAAATTGCAAGTGTGTGTCATTCCAGTCTAAACAGTTGGAAAAGCCTTCTTGAAACGTTTTAGGGTTTTTTGTGCCAACGCTTCCGGAACAAATCTGGTGCTTTATTGGCAACAGATGGCTGTGTGAGGCTTTCTGCCTTTCTAGAGGAGGTGAGGTAGACAGTAATGATTTCTGAACACCTTGGATGCACATGGTAGACACTGGTATCAATACCAGTGGCCCTCAGCTGTCCTCTCATGATCTGATTGGCCAAGGTGTGTGTGTGTGTATTTATATTGAAGTTTTGTGTTCTTTTAGGTTAGTTTAGTTTTGTTTGTGTTCTTTGTAGAGGTTCTTGTCCAGCTACATTAACTGAGATTACACCTGCAACTGCTAGCAAGTATGAGAAATGGATCTTTGTAAATTCACTTACCTCCAAATAATTGTTTAGTTTCTTTTCCAGCCAAAACCTTTCAGCCAGTTTGACACTTAAAATTGTATAAAAATGTCTTTAAAATCATAATGTTACACAAACCCTGCACAGTATTTAAATAATACTGTAAGAATAACAATAATTAGCTTATTACATTCAACTGAGCTTTGATTGGAACAAGTGTTGTCTGAGAGCTCTTTACTGTGATTTGCTTTTATTCTGCCCCGTTTGTCCAGTGTTAGCAATTTCTTATACTTGTTGGAACTTGTCGTAAGTGTGGGGTGGACATTTGTCTGTTTTGGGTCAAAACACTGACATCTGGAAAGATTTTTTTCTTGTCAGCATTCAGTGTGTCATTATGTTATTTAACTTGACCTCTTTGGGCTTTCTGTTCGGCCTTCATCACTTTACTGTGTTTGCAGTCACCCTGCTCTGCTCTGCAGAGTTTGTTTGTTTACACTGGAGGGGAGTGGACTTCCCCTCCACGACTTGGCTTGTGGAAGATGACCTGTTTCCTTTCAGTATTACAAGCTTTTTGCAGCAGCATTTACCCAACAGTTGACACAGTGAAAGTGAAAATAGCATCTTTTCCTTTCCCGTAGACTCACATGCACTGTTTGTCCACCAAAGATATTTGGTTGACATTGGTCTGAAGTGTACCAGTAGTGCAATTTAGATGTAATAAACATTTGTGTGAAACAGTGTCTTTTTTTTCTCCTGTGTAGCCTTGC